CTTGGAGGATGTAATCTTATTTACTTTGTTTATGGGTATCTGTGTGTCTATTATCTCCAGTATCCTACTATCTCCAATGTCCTGAACTCTGCCAAATAAATCTTTCCTAGTGAAAGCAGTAAGTGTTCGTTGGGGAGTTTTTGAACAAAGCAGTGACATGGTCAGATGTATACCTGGAAAGTTAATCTGTTGGTTGTATTTAGGTTGGAGTGTGGTGGGAAGTGACTGAAGCTGGAAATTAGAGGAACCAGAGAATGAGTGGAGAAAATGGGAATACATGATCTTATTAGAGGGGTTTGACTTTGGATGTATGAAGAAAATGCTGTCATTTTTGTGTTGCTGGTGGTAGTAGAACTTGTATAAGATAGGGGAGATTCATATATGTTTGAAACCATTGGGGAAATTGCTTAAATACATATAAGAGTGAGATTGAAGATAGAGAAGAGAATGGGGAACAAGTATAAAGTGAGTTCCTGAAGGAGTCTTGAAAATGAATAGGCATGTGTTCTGTGAAAAGGAGAAAGTGTAAGTTAGGTTAGAAAAAATGTTGAGGGGTGTGTGTGTGTGTGTGTGTGTGTGTAGACTAGGGGGAGCTGTTAGAAGTTGAGATAATTGGTGTCAAATGGCCTAGATCATTGGCTGCACATTAGAATCACTTGGGGAGTTAAAAAAAATACTGATATGTAGATTCCATGTTAGGCCAATTAAATCACGGCCTCTAAGGGGTATAACCCAGACCCCAGTATTTTTAAACACTCCCAAGGTGAGCCGAATGTGCAGCCACAGTTGAAAGCTGCTGGCCTATATTTTCTTAGTAACATGGCAACAATGCTTCCTGCTGTGAGCAAGGGAAGTAGTGTAAGAATAAGACACAGCTTAGAAGAAGGAAAATTAACTGACTGGGAAAACTTAAAAGGGAAGTCAATAAACTATACTGAAAATGTTTTGAGGAGTCAGAAGGCCCAAATTTCATTAAGTGGTTTGAGGCATCGGGGCACCTGGGTGGCTCAGTTGGTTAAGTGTCCAACTTCGGCTTATGATCTGAGCTTGTGAGCTTGAGCCCTGCATTGGGCTCAGTGCTCACAGCTCAGAATCTGGAGCCTGCGTTGGATTCTGTGTCTCTCCCTCTCTCTGCCCCTCCCATGCTCATGCTCTGTCTCTCTCTGTCTCTCAATAATGATAAACATTAAAAAAAATTAAGTGGTTTGACGCATTGAGGATCCAACCAGTGTGGCATTGTGATGCTCTGTTGAAATGCTACACAGCTAAGAAGATGGAAAAATGACCATTAGAGTCATTATGGTTAGAGAATTGTTAATAGCTCCCAAATCATGCTTGGCATAAGAATAACATGAGGATCTTTAGAAAAATCCAAATTCCAGGACCTTACCCCTCACTGAGCTTCTATCGGTGGATCAGTAGATCTGGATTGGGATTGGCAATCTGCATTCTTAAGCAGCATTCCTGGTAATTGTGGCATGCAGAACAACTGGAGTTGGGAACAACTGAAATAGAGGGTAGACAGAATGTCAAAGAAGAGAGAATGTCAAGGGAAACTGCAATTATAGTGCATGCATGCCTGAAATAATAGACCCTGAGATTTAGCTGGGTAAGGAGGAAAGCAGAGTCAGAAAAGCATAGAAAGATAATGATCTGTGGAGAAGGTACAGAGGTAAGTCACAGTAGGATACTGCAATGGATTAAATGCTTGAGTACCCATAAAATTCATATGTTGAAATCCTAATGTCAGTGTGATGGTGTTAGGAGGTAAAGCCTTTGCAAAGCAATTGGGTCATGAGAATGAAGCCCTCATGAATGGGTTAGTGCCCTTATAAATAAAAAGGCCCCAAAGAACTTCCTTGTCATCTGCCCATCATCTGAGGGTCTAATGAGAAGTCAGCAGTTTGCAACCTGGGAGGTAGCTCTCATCAGAACCTGACCATACTGGCACACTCTCTGACCTCAAACTTCCTGCCTCCAGAACTGTAAGAAATACATTTCTGTTTATAAGCCACTCAGTATTTTGTTATAGAAGCCCAAACTGACTAAGACAGGCACAGAAGGGGATTTCTTGCAGCAGGTTAAGTGAAAAGGAGGATCTAGACACAATGAGGTATTCTTGCAAAAATAGTGTTTTAAGACTGTTGTCGGAAAAATTTGAAAGTGTCTGATCTTGGATTTTATCTTATATCTCCTTGTTTCAAACCTTTCCCTCCTGCCCAAGATAGAAAAAAAATAACCCAATAAAACTGAGGAGACACTGCATTAGTTTGCCAGGGCTATTGTAACAGATGCCAAGAATGGGAGACTTGAACAGCAGACATTTATTTCTCACAGTTCTAGAGGCTGGAAGCCGAAGATCAAGGTGCTACCCACATAGATTTCTGGTGAGAGATCTCCACCTGGCTTGTAGATGGCTACCTTCTCACTGTGTCCTCACTGGGTTGGAGCAGGGGTGGAGGCGGGAGAGAGCAAGGGTATTCTCTGGGTCTCTTTTTATAAAGACACCAATCTTATCACTTTAAGGATCCTCCCTCATGGCCTCATTTAGCTTTAATTACTTCCTTAGAGGCCCCATATGCAAATATAGCCACATTGAGAGTTAGGGCTTCAACATATGAATTTTGGAAGGACACAAACATTTAGTCCATAACATAAGGAGGCACAATTCAGTCTATAACAGGCACCAAAGCTAGGTATATAATGCCTAACTTTCTGCTGAAAGAAAAGAAAAACACCAATATGTTTTTCTTTGGCTGTTTAGAAATCAAGGCAAATTTTCTAATAGTCTCACAGCTCAAGCCTAGGTTAGAGATGGTGGGTATGTGTGGAACAAGGATAACAAGCAGTTCTACCATGATTGCTAGTCCTTGGCTTGGGATATTAGGTCCTTCTGTATCAGGGATTGCTGTCAGTGTGCACTGCCTCTTAACTGCATTAGGAATGATGGATCTGGATTGATGGTGCAAACCAATTTCCTTTTTTTTTTTTTTTTTTTTTTTTTTTTTTTTTTTTTTTTTTTTTTTTTTTTTTGAACCTTCATGGGAAAACAAGTTTGGGTCACTACCATCATAATATTTAGAATCTGAATGAGAATTTTTATAGATAAATTAAAACTTATATTGTTTTGATTGAATATTCTTTTTTAAAAATTTTTACATGTTTTTTATTTGTTTCTGAGAGAGACAGACAGCGTGAGCAGGGGAGGGTCAGAGAGAGGGGGAGATACAGAATCTGAAACAGGCTCCAGGCTCTGAGCTAGCTGACAGCACAGAGCCTGATGCGGGGCTCGAACCCAGGAACTGTGAGATCATGACCTGAGCTGAAGTCGGACGCTTAACCGACTGAGCCACCCAGGCGCCCCAATTGGATATTCTTTTTAAAATGTTTATTTTAGGGGCACCTGGGTGGCTTAGTCGGTTAAGCGTCCGACTTTCGCTCGGGTCATGATCTCACGGTTAGTGGGTTCGAGCCCCGCGTCGGGCTCTGTGCTGACTGCCAGCTCAGAGCATGGAGCCTGTTTCAGAGTCTGTGACTCCCTCTCTCTCTGACCCTCCCCTGCTCACGCTGTCTCTCTCTCTCCTAAAAATAAATAAAACATTAAAAAAAAATAAAATGTTTACTTTATTATTTTGAGAGAGAGAGAGCTCATGTGGACAAGAGCAGGGGAGGGGCAGAGAGAGAGAGGAAAGAGAGAATCTTAAACAGGCTCATCCTTGTCAGTGCAGAACCTGAGGTGGGGCCCAAACTCATGAATCTTGGCATCATGACCTGAGCCAAATTCAAGAGTCAGATGCTTAACCCATTGAGCCACCCAGGTGCCCTTATTAATTGGATATTTTTTATCAAAAAAGAAGGAAAAGAGATTTTAGGGATATGAGCTATTGATGGTATTTTAGTGACTTGAATTAGATATTAGTTAGTCTCCTGAATGTTGGAGGAAAAGAATAGTCACAATATCATTTCTCATACTTTAGCTTAGAAACTTCCTGGAACCACAGCTGTGTAGAAATTTGATGTAGGCCCAGAGGCATCATGGTTTATCTTAAAAGCTTCTTTAAAAAAAAAGCTCTATTGAGGTATAATCTGCATCCATAAAATTCACTCATTTGGAGTGTACAATTCAATGATTTTGAATTAGTAATTTTACTGTGTTGTTCAGTCATGAACATTTAAAACACTTCCATCACTCCAATAAGATCCTTCCTCCCTTTAACAGGTAATCCCCATTCCCACTCCAGTCCTAGAAAACCACCTATCTTTATTCTGTTCCTATAGATTTACCTAAAGGCAGGTGCTATCGTTCCTTCTTAGCTCCTCTAGTTGCATGCTATAATAACTAAAGGCTAATTTACCCTAGAACTGTCTCATGGCCTGCCAAGATTGTCTCTTAAGCTTAGCATGTGTCTTCTATTTCAAGCAAGACACTATAGAGGATACATGCGGTACAGATGTCCCTCCTATATTGAGTCCAAACTGTTTTTCCATTGCAATTCTGACAGATTTGATGGGGGCAGGCCTGCCAGGCATCTTCTGCAATAAATTAAAACTCATCCTAAGGAAAAAGAGATTCTGTGGCCAATACAGATTTAGCCTCTCACATTTGTTTTTTGCCTCAGTTTCCCCATGTAGCAATCTAAAATAAGTATCTGAATTATTTAAATAATATAAGGGAGATTATTAACATAAAATTATGAATACTACATTCTATTTAACACTCCTTATTCCCTTACTTTGTTGTGTGCTGTGCAATTTAAAAATTTTTACTTACTGATATACATCAATAAGATACAAGCTAACATGATGACTTTTTCTTCAAATCTCCTAAGTTAGGTTTCTAGATTAATTCTAGTTGTAATAATTTTAAAGTGAATCTAGTCATCAGGTCAATTTAATAATATTGGGGAAAAGCTTAAGAGTAAACTTTGTTCTGATGTATTCCTTCTTTTGCTAAAGGTTATGCATTTACTTAACCTAGTAACTTGTCTATTGTTTTATAGATAATCATTACTTTAGAGGTTCTTGCTGCAGTCAAGACTGTCAGAAGATGTAAAGAAAGTGTGGTGAGTCTACTTGTTAGAAGTGAATTATCACTTCTTATTTCTAAGGACTGACAACCTTTTATTATTTCTAACGTCTACAATGGAGCAAGTGGGTAGTCTAGGAAAATTGATTTTATTACTTTGGAAATGGAAGCCTATTATTTTCATTTCAGTAATTTCACCAAATGGTCATCACATTTAATTTTTTTTTTCTAAGTGGGTCCTTTCCATCTATCTTTTATGTTCTTCACTGTAACTGAAAGATGTAGTTTGTTGCAAATATGATATACAAGAAGGCAGAGGAAATGCTGTGGTTCAAAAGGACATGAACTTTTCTAAACTGTATAACTGAAACAAGAAATAGTAAACATAAATTGTACAATTAATTGTATGCTGTCAAAATGAGACTGAATATGTTATATAAAATATTCATTTAGCTATGTTCAAAGCACTTTTAAGGAACTGAGGCCACACACAATTTATAATCTTTTTCTTTTTCTACTTTTTACACAAGATAACTTTATTCACATACTTTTCCCACATTGTTTATTTGAATGTTTCTGATTATACCAACCCACATCAGCATTCATAGTTCACAAATCCAAGATAAGTACAATGCTTAAACATGAATAACAATGACAAAATCATGTGAAAATGCAAGCAGAAAATGGGGTGATGCATCTATAAGCCAAGGAACACCAAAGATTGCCAGCAAACTACCAGAAGGCAGGAGAGAGGTATGGGGTAGAGTCATCCTCACAACCCTCAAAAGGAACCAATCCTTCTGACACCTTGATTTAGAACTTTAGCCTCCAGGACTGTGAGACACTAAATTTCTGTTAAGCCATCTAGTTGTGGTGGTTTCTTATGGCAGCCCTAGAAAATTAATACACAAGGCTGTCTATGCTTCTGTTTTCTCATATATAAAGTGATAGTGATAATGATATTCACCTTTTAAGTTTTTATGAAGACTAAGTGAGTTAATGAGTATAAAGTGCTAAGAAGTATACCTGCCACATAGAGGCATAGGGGAGACATTACTAGTTGGTTGAGTGAACAACTGTTCCATTCCCTTCTCTTTTGCTAAATATTAAATAGCATCCTGTTTGTAAGATGGATCTTTGGCTTATTTGAAGATCAGTAATTTCCTACTGATATAAGGGGAACAGAAATCAGATTTTTTTTGGCTTAGCATGGTGGAAGTCCTTAGGTTATAATAATGAAGATAAATCAAAGTGGCTAGTTTCAGAAAGCTAAAGTTCCCTGCCCCCCCCACCCCAGGAGATTAGAGTTTTAAAAGAAGGAATAGTGATTCAAAGTGCTTAAGAGGCCAAATGTTAATACTTTTAGAAGAAGAGAGCAGAGTTGTTAGACACATAGGTATGAATCAAAGGATAGAATGTTTTCAGATACCTTCCCATTCTTCATCCCCTATGATCATGTTGCCAGTGTCTTCATATAGCTGTTTTAAATGGAAATGTTAAATTACTGTGCTCTAACTATTTCTGAATCAGTATACTAGTTTATCTTGTTATCACAAAGTTGAGTAGGATGGGAAGCAATGAGATACTACTTAGGCTCATTTTGGCCAGAGGGAGATTAGTGATCAAGATTATAGGAGGAATAAGTGTCAACATTATTTCTTTTTTGGTAGGAGTGGGGGATGGATTAGACAATCTGGGGGAGAACTTGGTAGTTGAGGGTTAGAGGTATAGTGAGGGCATGAGGGCTGGAAGAAAGGCGAAAGGGTCAAAAAACATTATATAATACAGTATATTCCTCTCATGAGTTCTGTTATTTAAGATAAGTTAATTTTTTTGAGCCTGAGTGTAACAGTTTCCAAAGGCTGCCATAAACTAGGTAGCATAAAACAAGGGAAATTATTTTCTCACAGTTCTAGAGATCAGAAGTCTGAAATCAAGATGTGGGCAGGACCATGCTCTCTCTGAAGGCTCTAAGGAGGGTTTTTCCTTATTTTTACTTAGCTTCTGGTAGGCCCAGCAATCCTTGTATTCCTCGGCTTGCAGACAGATCATTCCAATCATTGCTCCCATTATCACATGGCAGACACCCACTCTGTGTGTCTGAATCCACATTTCTTCCTTCTTGTAAGGACACCAATCATTGGATTAGAGACCACCCTAATCCAGTGTGACCTTATCCAAACTTGATTACATCTAAAAGACTTTATTTCCAAATAAAGTCATATGCACATATTCTGGGTACATATGAATTTTGGGGGGATACCACTTACCCTAATACTGTCAGTTTATTTTCTATAAGAATAAAACATTATGATTTATATTCATGCCTCAGTTTCCTCATCTTTAAAATAGGGATGATAATAGTTTCCCTGAAAGTCATTATGAGATGTTTGTTGTTCTTTGACTTCTCACTTTATTTTCCTTGCAATACCTTGATTTATTCTGAAGGAATTACTACTTCCTCAGTGAATTGAGTTTAGGTTCTTGATAATCATGGGCCCCCTCTTCCTTAGGTGATGGGCACGTATGTGACCCGATGAATACCAGCTAGACGGGCCCTTTGGAAGCTAATCTTGACCACAAGAATAAAAAGACTAAAATGGATGGAATCTGTATGATGGTGATTAAGGGCACAGATTTTAGAGACAAGTGTTCTAGAGACAAGTGAATCCTGAATCTATCACTTACCAACTGTGTGGCTTTGGGATATATTTAGCTTGCCTCTGCCTCAGTTTCCTCATGTATGAGATGAGAATGATAATGGTACCTATTTCATCTAGTGCCAGCTACTGTGCTTGGTATTAGGTATGTATCAGTTAACAAAACATTGTTTCTGCCTTCATGGAGATTTCACACTTTGAGAGAGAGATAACAAACAGAGAAAAATGATATTTATTATAAATCGTGATATGTGCGTATGTGTTATGTAAAATAATGGCATTTGGTACATAGTTAGCAACATGCCAGCATAAGCATTTACTCATTTATTTTGGTATCAGTGTTATGACCACAAATTATTGCTGTAGTTTTTTATTCCTAGCTTTCTAGAAATATCTCAGCTTCTGCTCATTTCTTAGCTTGGATTTTGTCCTTCCCAATGATGCTGAGAATTTCAGTATACTTTCCCTAAAATTCCTTTTGCTTAATTTAGTCAGAGCTGGTTTCCATTGCTGGCAACTTGAGAATTCTGATACAATATTCATAGAGTTGCTTTAAGGATTAATAAGACTATGTATACTAAACATGTACATTCTCAATCAACATTAATTCTGGGAGGAATGACCTGAGTATATTGAAAGCAGAAGGTATAGAGTCAGATGAGTGTGAGTTGATAAACAGAAGTAAACAGGAAAAAAAAATTAGCAAATGAATTTAGTGTAAGGGAGACTCAGATGACTGATTTCATGATGTAAGAGGGCTAACTTTCACTTATAGGGTAAAAAGTTTGAGTGGTTGACAGGTCAATCTGAGAAACTCAGAGACTTGAATGGAATACATTAAAGGTATTGTTTTACTGTTGACAGTATTGCCTCAAAAGATTTAATCTAGTATATGTAGTCTTATTCAGAAGCAAACCCTTTCTTCTTCTCTTTTTTTTTTGTATTACCTGAGGAAGCATTCTATAAAAACAACCTTTAAAAATGGTCTTTGTTCTTGGCATAAAGGACTACAACAGGGAAACTAATAAAGAATGGTAGAGTCATTTGTTTGACACCAATCCATGTAGACTCATTATTCTAAGGTGCAAAGGTATACATTTGAAAGCCAGGAGGAAAGGTTATATTGTACTGATGGATGCAATATCATAAGTATGCACATGCATATTCATATGTTGCCAATTACTCTTTTGAAGCTGTGTAAATTACGCATTTAAAAACTAAAAACAGGATACATATTCTAAAGCACTCTGAGATAAAAATTGAATGAAAGAGGATTACTGCAATAGCTAATTTTCCATCATTTTTTCTATTCAATTTTTTAAAATTAATCTTTATTTATTTTTGAAAGGGGGCAGGCAGAGAGAGAGGGAGACACAGAATCCAAAGCAGCTCCAGGCTCCAGCTGTCAGCACATAACCCAACACAGGGTTTGAACTCACAAACCGCTAGAACTCACAAACTGTGAGATCGTGACCTGACCCGAAATCAGACACTTAACCGATTCCATTTCTAATCAACAAATGTACTCAGTCCCTTTGACTACCCCCATTTCTCAATTATCCTTTAGGCATCACGAAACAGGATTACTCCAGCCTTTATTTGTTCCAAGTGCCAAGCTCAGATATGGATTTTGAAGATTAGTTCCTATCCTGAATTAAAGGGATGACACAATAATCAGCTCCAACATTTTCTATCCTGGCATTAGCTAATCAACATTCATTTATTTATTTCACAAGTCTTTATGATGTCTATACTATTTTTGCTTGATATTGTCCTTGATGCTGAATAAGCATGGTAAATAAATACAGTTACTGTCTATACAGAGCTTCCAAGCATATCAAGAAGACAGTATGAATTTTTCAGTTGTGGTGTGTGCTATGAAGAATATGAACAGGAAGTGAGTAGAGGTGTAGAGCAAGGGATGGATTGGTGTTAGAGATGGTGGACCTATTTAGAAGGAGTCTATTTGGAGATACAGTCTTTTCTGTAAAGTGAAGAGAAGATGTGTGTGAGTCCTGGTCCCATGCCTCAGGAAGATCATTCTCGGGCATTGAAAAGGCAATTAGGTTGTCTGTGGCTGGGATGCTGAGGTCAGAGTGTTTGTGTATGTGCAGGCTACCTTTGTGGCACTGGAGCTGAAGCATTTCTTGGGTTGGTGGCTCCTACACTTTTTTTTTTTTTTTTTTTTTACACAGTTCAGTCCTGTTTTGAAGAGGGGATGGCTTGAGGCTAGTAGAATCAGGTGAAGTTTGGGACTTAGTTTCTCTAGTCCTCTAATCTTAGGGGAGCTATCCTGACTGGTGAACATGGGGCAATGGTCCTGACCCTCTAAGGGTTTTGGTGCCTCCCTTGTCTGTCCTTTCTAGTGTTATTTGTC